GCGCCCGTCCTCTCTCTGTCTTTCTTTAACCCTTTCCTTCTCTTCAAAACCTAACACTGTCCTTACCCAAAGCTCTCATCCTTTTTCAAGATACAGCCATATCTCCTTTCATTGTGTTTTGCTTTATTGTGCTTTATAGATACTGTGATTTTTACTAACTGAAGGTTTGTGGCAACTCTGCCTCAGGTAAGTCTTTTGGTGTCATTTTTCAAGCAGTAGGTGCTTACTTCCTGTCTCTATGTCAGTATTGTTCAGCAATGTTTTAAAAAATTAAGGTATGTGCATTTTTTAGGCATAATAATATTGTACTTTTCATGGAGTACAAGATAGTGTCAACATAACTTTTATATGCACTGGAAAACCATAAATGCCTGTCACTCCCTTTATGATGATATTCATTTTATTGAAGTGATTGGAAACTAGACCAGCAATATCTCCGAGGTGTGCCCGTAACCACGTCTCAATTTATTTGATATCTTTGGCAATTTCCAGAGCAGCCACAGTGACAAGGTCTGGAGGGTACCCTTGCAGTGACAGTGGGTCTGGGGCCAGGTATGGGCTAGTGCACATAGAAGTGGCTTAGTGTTTGAGTTGCCAGTGCGGGGTAAGACCCTGAGTCCTGGGTCTGGGGCAGTGCAGAGGGTAAGGTTGGTGCCAAGGGGCTGGGAGGTAGCGCTGTCACAGGAAACACAACAATGGCTCCTTACTCAAGAGTGCGTATAGTAGCATCTCCCTCTCTGGGGTGTCCGCGACTATGGCCGCAGGTTACCACCCAGGCAAAAGCACCAGTGGCCCCGGTGGAGCAGGCTGCTGTGATCCTGGACAAGAAACATTCAAGGGCCTCCACTGGGAAAGCTGAATGGTGGGGGATTGCCCGGGTGGCTGCTGAGGTTATCAGCAGCAAAGGCTGCAGGGTCCTCCCACAGCGCAAGCTATGGGGCCCACAGTGGCACCACCGCTGGCTGATAGCAATTGCTTCCCCTTTCTTTGTTCCTAGAGGTATCAGGGCTCCCAGGTGTGCCATCAGCCTCCAGCCATCCTTTGCATGTGCTTATTCTTAGCTTTTTACTCTATCCTGTTGCTGCATGTTTGGAATTGAACTCTTCAGCCCTCCCAGGATGTTAGCCTTCTTGGTTAACTGTTGAATTGTTGGGTTTTGTGAGGGGTGAAGTCTGGTAACCCTTACTCTGCTATCTTGCTGACATCAGGTCCCCAGGACATCAATTTGATGATGATATTTTGAACTTTGCCCTGACACTATTATGGAATAATACTTAGGCTTGATGGGGTGAGAATTAGAGCATTTAACATGTAAGTGGGATGTGGGTTGTTTGGGCGACAAGGGTGACTGATGCCAGTTATGTCCTTCAAGATGACTGTCACAACACCTACCATCCTACAGTTTCCTCTAAAAAGGTATCTCTCAATGAGGTTTCCATGATGCCATATGCCTGTCTCCCCCCAGTTAATCAGAATTCTGAATCTCGTATTCTTTATAATTGGATTTTCCTCTCTGTAGTTAATTTCTTCTATATGTATTCATCAAATAATATTGTTAATTTATTTGTTTAAAATCCTGTAAAAGGTAATTCATACAAATAAAACCTCATTTATGAATCCTTGTCTTTGTGCATGGTGCTTTGTGTGTCCTCTTTAAGAAATTTCTTTCTGCACCTGTTTTTGATGTATGTTTTTATGCTCTTTACTACAAACTTTATGATTTTGCCCTTATGGTTTATGATTCATTTAGAGTTGATATTTATATAATATAGAGGTGAAATGTAAAGGTCAAGATTCATTTTTATGTAATATAGAT